GGTTACAATAAGTTCCAAGTCAAGAAGAGTAGTATGTCTACTTGAGAGAACAGTAAGACCAGAGTCTCACTAAGAACTAGCAAAAAGTTGGTTACAATAAGTTCCAAGTCAAGAAGAGTAGTATGTCTACTTGAGAGAACAGTAAGACCAGAGTCTCACTAAGAACTAGCAAAAAGTGGGTTACAATAAGTTCCAAGTCAAGAAGAGTAGTATGTCTACTTGAGAGAACAGTAAGACCAGAGTCTCATTAAGAACTAGCAAAAAGTTGGTTATAATAAGTTCCAAGTCAAGAAGAGTAGTATGTCTACTTAAGAGAACAGTAAGACCAGAGTCTCACTAAGAACTAGCAAAAAGTGTGTTCAACCCCAGATTAAGAGTTTAGAAAGTCATTGTTTAAATAAATGACAAGATGGGTAAAATCAAGGAAAAATGGATGAGCAACAATGGAGATGACTGAATATTTTAAAACTATATTATTAAAAAAAAAAATCAGATGTAAAATACTGAATGTACCTTAGCATCATGTGAAATTTGTGTAGACTACAGAATTGAAACTCATAACATGTTTATAAGGTAAGTGAATAAATGTGATAACCTTTACCTGCACTAGGTAGGACACCAGGTCTGGAATCACAATCAGAGAGAATCTCAACATAGAAAATAAAGTTACAGAAACAAAAGCTGTATTTGGATCCAGCACATTATCTTCATCCATGAACAGATAGGTTACAAAACTAAAAATGGTAATCTGTAAAACAATTTTTAAATATATTATAATTTCTATTCTTTTATGGGAGAGTTAAATGCCAGAATTAGAAAAATTATATACATATTTCATAAGACTTCAACATAGCATACTTTTTAATCATGCAAATAATCTGGTTCACCAAAAATGATTTGAATAAAAAAGCCTATGTTGTAATACATGTGAAATTGAAGCTATGAATATATTAAAACTAGTTAACAGTTGTTTATTTAACGATCGATTTTTATCTTGACAAAAAATCAACCTTTTCCAGCAGCTTGGCTAAGGTTACTGTTTATACTTCATTGGACATTAGGGAATAAAGCTTAAATAGGAACCACAAAGCCTATAGGGCTGAGTGGGCTACAGCTCTGCCACTTTTCATTTACGACACCAAAAATAAAAACATTTATTAAGTTAATTTTGAAGAAAAAACAATATTTAATTCAAGGATTGAGACAGCCTGACTAATAAATATACATTAACAACATATTAATAACTGGTAGTATTAAGTGATGCTTAAACTCACCCTGTATCATTTAAAAATACACAGAAATAATCTGTTACGTCTGTGAGCACACGTTTTATCCTGGGTATATTATTAAGTCGTTTAATTCGTCAATATAACAACAGAAATATAAATAAAATACTTTCAAACTAGCTCTATGGGATCTGTTAAAACAAATATTTAAGTACTAAAGTTTAAAAATAATAATAATAATTTTTCTAAAATTCTTAAACAATTTTTAGAATACATAGAATTTAATAAAACTTTAATCATATTTAACTTCAGAAGTATAAAATCTTTACTGTAATGAATGTTTTAGTATTTCTAGAACTAATAACATTAATTTCCGACGTAAGCTTATAAATGAGCACACTTCTTCTATTCAGTGGCTCTATTCATCATTGACCCTGAACAGAACACCCCGAATAAATGAAAGTCTGCTCACATATAAGGATAGCAGTAAGTTTACAGACTTACAACATTGAAATCCAGGGTTTGATTCCCTGAGGTAGACACAGAAGATAGCCTAATTAAATTGTATCTATAAAATATGATGAATATACTCTATTTAAACTCTGCAAATTTAAAACAAATGAGAGTTATAAGTTAAAAATACATTTGTAATCCTCCATAAAACATATTGTTACGACAGCGGAAGTCATGTGACACTGGTAACATGTCATGAGATTCTCGAAGGATCTTGAATTTTCCTGGCAACTCTAGTATGTTCCAGGCGCCCTCTTTTTTAGTATATAAGCTCGGCAAATAAAGCAGAGACATAATGGCAGATAGATAGATATAGAGACAGATAATTGAGTTAAGCGAGCGATAGTGGATAGTGACGGTAATATAAAGTGTGTGTTTTGTTATCGAGATTGCAAATGTATTGACTGTGGAAATTCTGTGTATTGCAAAGTTGTATCAAGAAAGAACAAACTAGTTTTAATTAAGATAGGACTTGTATCACTGAAGTTTCTCGGAAAGAATTTCTACGGGAAATTAACAAATAAGCAGATAATTTACAGTAAATGTCTTTTGAACTTTAAATATTTTATTTTGATATATATATTCATTAGTGTAAATCACTCATTTTTCAACTCTTATCCAGTAGTGTTTATGTTGCACAGTTAAATATTCATATTAACTTCAGCACTGATTTGAAAGGCTTATTAACTAAGACAGCAAGTCTCTTGTTGGAATATAGCAGCTTGTCCCACATATTTTTTATTACATTTCTTGTAATATACCTGCATCAGCGAATGTAACAATAAGAAATGAGAGCTGTAAACACTATCTTTTTCATAAATTGATAAATCCTGCTTGAGTATTTCATCTTTATTGAATGTTACAATAATTCAGTATCTCTATAGAATTGTTTTATGATTCTACTTGAAAATCAAAGTATAACTGTGTTTGTTTAATGGAGATTCACTTGCCACATAAATTAATCTGCCTTATAAACACTCAAATCATTCATTACAAGAACAACATTACGTTTGTTAGTTGAACAGAGTATTATCATCATGTGCTCAAGAGCAACAACAGCTTGTACTAGTTATCAATAAAGTTCCTGTGAGTCAATTCTTATGCCCACCTTTTATTATCCGGTCAAACAGTTTCTTATTTACAGTATTCTTTTTCCATGGTCAAAGTAAGACAACTCTATATCCACTCAATGAATTTATTTATAATAATGTTCTTATCTAATTTTCATTAAGCAATGTGTTTGAGGTAGGATAATCTAGAATATTTTAAAACAACCTCAATTTTCAAATTTGATTTACCAAGTGTATTTAAAATCTCAAGCCTTTTCCGTGTTCAGTAGAAAAACTGAAATTTAATTACACTAATATATAAATGTTGTTATAACTTAATGAGATCAGACAGTGAAAGAATAGTTACCAAGAAAGGTGAACTACTCCAGATGAAACTTGTTATAGCATTGAGATACTGAAATCTCTTCAAATACTTAAGTTCCTTGCTCCTGATATCCATGATTTGTTTTATAAATGGAGGCTCCCAAGCATACAGTTTCAGTACCTGAAGAAGAACAAAAATAGAAATAACAATGTATGTGATTTAAACCTGGTTAATCCAATATATATATATATATGGGTTCCAAGTTCTTAACTGAATGTAAGAGAGATTAACTTACCTTTATTCCTGATAAAATTTCATTCATAAATTTTAGCCGAACATCTTTTTCTTTCATCTGTTTTGCCTTTAAAAAAAATAAGATGGTTGTTATAAGCTCTTTCATTTTCTATTTTGTAAACCATTGCTAATAAAATCTATACTGTACATTATGTGAGACACGGAAATTTTTCTACATCTTGTAATTTGCCTTTTACCAAATACTGATTCAGATTGCTCAAGAAAATTAAGCTTTCATTCTCACAATCATCCCCTGTACAGTAAAATCACTTATGATTAGTCTAATATATTGAAATTTCTTTGATTTCACATATCTGTTTTTCTATTATTCCTCTGACAAAAGAGAATCAAATATTTATGAGATAAATGGCAATTACTCAATGGTATCAATGAAATAATACTGTGTGTATACAGACAACTATTTTAACTGGTGAACAACACAAATAACAACATAAAATAATACTGTGTGTATACAGACAACTAATTTTAACTGGTGAACAACACAAATAACAACATAAAATAATACTGTGTGTATACAGACAACT